GGAGAGTTTTGTTACCTTAGTCGTCAGAGCATAGGTCGCCTCTCGGCCGGGCTTTGGAAAAGAAAAAGGGGTCATTTTTTACTTAGCTGGTCGAGGCCCAGTGGTCGGTGAGGGGTTGGCCACGGCGACGTCGTGGAAGAGATGGCCTTCTCGGCCATTGAGGAAGAAGAAAAAATGAAAGAGAAAGGAGAGTTATTTTGGTCTTCACGTGTTTCTGGAAGAGTAAAAGGAGGTTTTCATTTTAATGTTTTGGAAAAACCATGCATAAGGTCCCTAGTTTTTTTGGGAGTTTCTTGCTTTATTAGACTATTTTATGGTTAATCGCTAAATGGTCCCCATAATTTCAGAGTATTTTTCATTTTAGTCACTAGTTTAGGAGTTAATTATCTTTAATTCATCAAAATTTAGGAGTCTATTTACATCCTAGTCAGTAACCTAGGGTTGAATTGCATAGAGCCCCCTAAACTTTTAACTTATCATTATATTTGTGTCACTTAAAATAGGGAAAATCACGAAATAATCCCTCCAATTTATGCAAATATTTACACTTTAGTCCCATAATTTCTTTTTTTATTATTTCGAAATTAGCTATTATTTTTTATTTTCTTTTATTTTGGTCGCTATTTTTTATTTATAATCTACTCACTGTTATTTTTTTTATTTTGATCTCTATGCTTTACTTTATTATATTTTAGTCATTTTAATTCTATCTTTTAATCTTCTGATATATTTTATTTTAGTCCTTTACTTTATATTTCAATTTATGCCATTTATTTTTTATTTATTTAATTTTAGTTATTTAATTTCATTACTTTTATTTTCTATTTTTGCTTTACATTTTTTTAATACTTTAATTTTAGTCTTTTAACTATTGCGCTTTATTTTTTGTTCATTTCATTTTAGTCACATGAATATTTATTAAAGACTCATAAGCATAACTTGACTGATTTCATATTTGGGTTAAAGGTTAGTATTTATTTATTTTTAAATATTAAGAACGGACCGTCTTAAAGTAACTAGATGTCATATTCTGATATTTTAATATAAATAAATATCTACTTATAAAAACCTATATATATACTTACTTTAGTTTTTGTTGTATCAAATTATTTTAAAATGATTTATTGGGAACAATTATCACATTCTTATTATTTCAGTTGGAAAGAGAAATATTCATCCTAAAGTAATTTAGGGATTATTTTCTCTTCAATTGGAAATATTAGAATATTTTTATTTTTTCTTAGAATTTTCTGTTAAATAAAATTATGCGATTGAATCTGGAATAATAGGATCGTAATTTAAATTTATATTCGAATTCTTAGATTTCTATTACTAGAGACAATTTATAATTAATGTGTACCAATTTTGGGCGTTGTGGGGTGTTAATCCTTCCCCAAACGTAATCGACCATGAATCCCTTTTTTATTACTAAAAAGAATGAATTTCTGGCTATACGTAGACTAGTTTATATTTTAAATGATGTTTTCTTAAAATCTCTTTTAAAACGTGATTTTTAGGTATTAAACCTACCTAATCCAAAAGGTCGATGGCGACTCCAAAACATTTTACTGAAAACCATTTAATTACTTGCTTTTCTGCCATGAAAATTCGTGCCCGGGCGAAAATCGATTACGACAGCTAGGCGACTCCACTGGGGACTATAAAGGTCAAGCCTAAATTGATTATATATTGTCTCTATAGTCATAAATTGAGATACGTAGACTAGTTTATATTTTAAATGATGTTTTCTTAAAATCTCTTTTAAAAACGTGATTTTTAGGTATTAAACCTACCTAATCCAAAAGGTCGATGGCGACTCCAAACATTTTACTGAAAACCATTTAATTACTTGCTTTTCTGCCATGAAATTCGTGCCCGGGCGAAAATCGATTACGACAGCTAGGCGACTCCACTGGGGACTATAAAGGTCAAGCCTAAATTGATTATATATTGTCTCTATAGTCATAAATTGAGAATTCAATTTTATTTAATTTGTGATTTGTTTGATTTCTTTAATTTTTTTTGTATATTAAAGTTTATATTGATTTCTTTTGTTTGCATTGCATAAAACATAAGCTCTATATTCGAGCTATTTTCCCTTTTAAGTGGGAGTGAAAGTGACGTCTTTGTGAGAATTTATTGTCCTTTTTAAACCTAGCAAGTAATTTTCGGGGTTCATATACCTTATGTCTTCGTGAGGATTTATTCTCCGTGTCAGACATAGGGAAATGTGCCCTCTCGAATTGAACTTGATTCGCTTAAGCCTATAATGGGTGAGGATAGAGGGTTTGGCTCGTCTAAGGAGGCATCGACAAGGACAATTCGAGTACCTTTACTTCTAGAACCTAACCTCATATAGAGAATGTAGCAAGCCTATCTCTCTAGAGCCATGCAGATACTTTAAGAGAACTAGAAATTATACGATTAGGGTTTTATTTTCCTATGTGTGTTTTATTTACTGTATTTTATGGTTTATTTATCAGTTGAATTTAATCTTTTCATATTTCACTAACACATATTTCCTCTCTTTGATTATTATTTTTGCTAACATTTTTTTCCTTTGTCCTATTGCTTTATTTTGTGTATAAAGATGTTGTTAATACTCGAGTTATTTATCTTATTTAGAAAGCTTTTAAAATGACAACGCCACATGAAGGGGTAGATATTATTTTTATCTACTTTAACATATTAGGACATTGTGAGTTCTTTGAAATTTGTTCTAGGATAATTACCTTGGAATTAACACATGTTTCATACATGTCATGTCATAGAAGGTATTGATTCTCGAGTTAATAGTCTCATTAAAAGGCTTTCAATACGAAAAATGTCACTCTAAGAGGTAGAATAGAACTACAAAAATGCATCATCGGTCTAGAAGGGTGCTCCAAGAAGCAACTGATGAGGTACATCAAGATGGAATACATGAAGCTCAAATGATGGTGCTACGACGATGTTGATAGAATTAGCCAAAAAGAAATAATATGTTTGAGGCCATAAAGCAATAGCGATAACTAACACGAGACAATGGATGATGTCAATCGCATATGATCGCTCAACAAATGTGTTTCTGAAAAAGAAGTCAAAGCGTTGGAATTTTCCATCAAGTTAAGGATAAAAGAAGATTGTTTCCTAGTATATTTGATCAAAATTGAAGAAGTCGAGCAGTGTGACGTGATTTCCATTTGCCTCAGTATATTGGTACATTGTGTATTTTTTGGAAGTTGTTTTATGACAATTAGTTTGGAATCAACACCTTCGTTGCATTTGCATTTTTATTTTACATTCACATTTTTGCATTTGCATCTTTGCATAGTTACATTTATAGTTTCAATCTTACATCATGCATTTGCATTTTTTTTAGTTTCAAACTATTTTACATGCATTTAATCTAAAAAAATATGGGAATAATCCGTGGAGAATTCCATGATAGAATTTTCTAAATCAAATTAAAGCTAAATTGGTCTTCTAGAGAAAGATAAGAGCCATGAATGAAATTTTAGCAAGGGTTGGTAGAATCGAGAAACTCCAAGAGCAACTCATAAAGACCCAACACGAGATGAATGATCAAGCAAAAAAGTTTCAATATGATTCAAAAGAACAAATGACCAAATTGATGGATATAGTGAATGTTGTGATACATTGAGAGAAACCCTTAGAGGATCATGTTGTAAAAGAAGATTTGAGTGGGATTATGAATGTCAATGGTGAAGTAGAAATAATAGTGACATGTGATCAAGCCAGTTCCAAAAATCATATATGGTCGTAAAGGGTCCCACTAGATCAACAATGAATGAAGAAGTGATGAGAGATAAAGATAACCTTATGAGATATAAGCTTTACTTAGAGAAAAGGGGTATAGAAAAGGGTCAAAGGATGATAAAGAAGAAAAAGAATGTGCAGGGTTTTCAATTTCCTCCCTTCCACTTTTCAGGTAAAAAATTGCATTAAAAAATGCTCCACGATATGTCTAACCACAGTGGCCTCCGAATGAGAAGTGGGCCTATAAGGAGTTTCCTTGGATAAACCAGACTGGAACTCCAGATTGTTCAACCAAGGTTCCTAGTAATCTTGAGGGAAAGTTTCAAGATCCTTTAGAGCAAGCAATTCAAAAGTATAAGTTAGAAGCAGGGGTTAAGATTCAATGCTCAGAAATCGTTGCCTCAACAGAGACTAATGCGATCAAATCATGTGAAAAATATCGGGTGCAATAAAATGGGAAAGAAAATTGAAGCAAAAAAACTCCCATGGATGTAATATGAAATTGGCCCATAGGTTTAAAAATAAACTGGGAAGATGCCACAATGAAAACATTTCAAACACCTATATCAGACTTCCTGAGGACAGATGAGACTTTGGGTAGTTTAGAGAACCTGACGAATACTACGCCAATCATAGCTGCAATATGTGTTCAGAGCTAGGACAAAGTTATTGTCACCAATGAGAATCGTTTTGAGCCCAACTTCTAACTGATAAATGAGGAGATGAGATCTGATCAAAAAGATGCTAAGAAAGAAATAGAGATTGGTGCGTCTGAGTAATCATCCAAATGAGCCCGAATAAGAGAAATGATAAAACAAATGGGGGGCAAATAAGGACAAAGACTCTGGTCCGATTACACACCCAACATTCTAGGAATACTGGGGCATCATAATTATGAAGAGATCATTTCATCAGTTGATACATTTTTTTGATACATTTACATTTATCTGAGACTTTGAAGTAATGCCTCTACATGATTTTGATACATCAAATCCATATGTTCATCTTCTCGGGTAGAGTTGATTTGTTTATAACACTACCTTCCACCATATACATGACTTCAAAAGTCACACCTTTGTCATTCCAAATACAAAACTGTCATGCCAATGAAATTGAAATACTTCAAAAGTACTAAACTTTCAATTATCCTGCAAGAAGAGACAAGATAGGGCATCATGGACCAACTTATCAAAGAGAATATTGAGTAATTGGGGCATGCTTAAAGTAAGAAGAAGAAAAAGAAGAGGGATTGATTTAAATAATTATATCATGCATTAATTTCATGTAAATAAAGTTAATCCTGAATATTCATCCCCCTGGGGATACCTCTTTTTATAAAAACTTCTGTGTAAGAAATGATGAACGACATTCTTTCATTTATCCATTCGCAAAAGGAGAAAAATATATCTTTTGTTGTCCCCATTTGAGCCTAAATTATTTTTCTTCTGATTCAACCCTAACCAAGGATCACGCTCCATATTGGGGGGCAAGGTGAAGGATATCTGCTCACAGGAATAAAGATTGTCAATCCAGTTTTATTGCGAAGGCAAATCTCCATGAAATAAAGAGAGTTTTGAACTACAAGGTAGGTCAAATACAAATTGCTCAAAGATCAATTCAGTCAATAATAATGAAAGAATTTCTGAAATGTAAGAGGAAAAGGAGGTGCTCAAAGTAATTGAAGTCCTATACTCATCCATCATGAAAAAGAAGAAAAAAGAAAAAAAAGATGAAAAAGAAAAAAGATGAAAAAGATGAAAAAAATATAAAAAAATGTGAAAAAAAGAAATTGAATCAAGATGGGTGACTCATTGAGCCTCAAGTTACAAGGTTGATCAAGTGCATTTAGTTCAAAGATTCATATTCAACAAGAAGCGCAAGAAATGCTGGAGATATAAGAAAATGGAAATTAACCCAAAACTTGGCAGTATAGAGGGATCTAGAAAAATAAATGATGAAAGACAAGTAGCAAAGCAGATCCAAGTCAATCATGGCAAGATTAAAGGCATCAGAATAAATTGATTCTTGGTTCAATTACCCTTAAACACTTGTTTGGGCCTTTTTATCCTTTTATTTCATAACCATGAGCCCTGGCCTACGTTACGTACCTGAAAAGTCCATTCTAATCATACATTAATTTCTAAGTAAAAGAGACTATCTTCAGATTTCATTCCGCTTCTCATGATTGATTTTTATTTGCGAAAATTGGTTTTTTTAAAATCTTTAGTGCAAGATATGAAAAATGATAAAGGGGGTTCAAGATGTAAATTTTAAATAACATCTTGAAGCCAAAGGAGGATTTGAGTTGAAAACCTGAAAAGACAACTCGAATATTGAATGGTGCAACAACGACATAAGAGACGATCTTAAGCTCTTGATGAAGCACTGCACATCCCAAAGACGTTCCTGAGATTCTGGAATCAAGAAGTATCTCTATGAGATGAGCATAACAACCATTTCTTCAAGTTACTGGAAGCTAAAAGAGACATATATGCTGGACCAACCTGAAAGACCTTACTTTACTAGAATCACCCTACACCTTAAATCAATCAATAATTTTGACACTTGCCATAGGACTATGATTTTTTTGATTTAAAAGTGTAGTTGATTTATTTGATATTCATTGAACTCATGCTTATGATTTGATTTAATTGTGAGCCTAAATTAAGGGGCAATGATTTACAAAAAATTTTCATTCTTTGATAAAGAAAGAAAAAAATATTTTCAAACAGGATAGTTTCAAATAAGAAAGGTCCTTGAAGCATGTTGATGCTTGTTCTACCTCTATTGGAGAAAAAAAATAAGTGATGGCAAAATGATGAAGCATTTCACATTCTTGAAGACAAGTGGTTCGAGAGTCCATAAATTCTGGAGAATTGAACTTGTAACACTCTTTTGTGATATTATCAGGTATTCATCAAGAACGATTACCCTATTCAAAAGGGATACATATCCCAGTGCATAGCAAAAAGGCAAGAATGCAACCAGTTAAAAAGGAGATGACCACCTCATTCAGAAGAGGCACATATCTCAATCATTTTTGTCAGAAGGATTGATCACTTGTTAAGTTTGTGACAACATGAAGAGAATCCCTCAAGTTACTTGGCAACTCTTCTAGAATGAGAGCATTCAGGATTAAGAGATTCGGCACCAAGAAAGGCACGAGTACCCATAATAGGGCATTACCAAAATTGGATCTCGTAGGGATCATGAGATTCAAATCAAACAGACATTGAGAGTAAACCTTACAACTTAGAATGTTGGGACATTTTGAAGGCTCATATCAGTATGAAAAATGTTAGGGAATTTTGAAGACTCGTATCAGTAAGAAACAATTTTGAATGCATTTTGAATGTTCATATCAGTAAATGTTGGGGCATCTTGGGAAGCCCATATTATCCAAAAATATAAGATCATGAATTTGGCAAATATTTCCAATGAGACAGAAATATAAGAATAATTAAAATGATGAAACGGTGACAGTCAAGCTTACTAGACATAATTGACTTGTTCATCATACAATTACATTATTCTGGTGATTCGATGTTGGCAAGCCAAAGTGTCCCACTTGTATTCCCACTGAGTTTTGTTCTTAAGTGTCCTTGTGACGCCATACAAAAGCTCTGAACACCATACAAAAAAGTTTCTTTTGTTGGGAAATTTAGGCAGAAACCACATGAAAAAATGAATGTGTTGCAAAATATTCTACGAACCAGTGATTAAGATGCTGAACCAATGTTGTGATCATATGGTATTTCCATTGTTGACCCAAGATAAAGTTTTTCTTCTTCAACCCCAAGGTTAGAAGTAAGAAATGATGAAGATTTCTTTCCATGGGAAGAAGAACTAAAATTTTAACAACAAGAAACTAGTGGAGCCACCTAAGGTTGAACAATATGTTGTTGTTAAACATCTCGACATGATATGATCTAAATAGACTTGTTCGAGATCTGATTAGATGTGGAGACATGAAAGGAATTAAGATAAATCCTCATTGTGATGTGTTTCAAGAGTCAAATTAGAACAGACGTTGCTCTCCTAAATAATCTCTGCTAAGTTTGGCATATTTACATCTGCATTATCCAAACACAGTAGATTCTCCTTTCAAAGATAAAAGCTTTATTGTATTTCTGCACAAGTTCAGGCAAAGAAAGTTGGTTTTATCAAAGACAAAATGGGGCAACAAAGTCATAATTCTGAGTGTGGCAATAATTATGTAAATGAAACATTTCTTCTGAGACTTTAATGTAAATAGAGGCGAAGAAGACACAAATATGCAAGTTGATCAGATGATTCTTCAGAAATGCAAGCTTGAAAACATAAGTTGCTAATATCATATTTGAAGTAAAAAACTGGAAAGGAAAGATCTAGTGGAAGAAGATCAAATTCACCACTTTGAAGTCAAATGAAGATTGCATCAACATTTTTGCATTCATAAGAACATCACTTGCATAATAGAAAATGCATTACATTGATATATTTGATTGCATTCAAACATGAGGTTTTTACAAATTTTGTATGAAAAAAGAAGGTTCCTGATGACAAAATACCTTACAAATAGAAGGTAGAATTCAAACCTCGAATGTAGGAATCACGTTAGGAGAGGCAAACATCTGAAGAATAGATGGTCGCAATCCACAGAAGAAGCATTATTTTGAAGTGGGACAGGTTACCCAACTAACAAATTGTTTCGAAAAAAAATGAGAAAACAATTTCCAAAGTTTCACATTTAATCTTTTCTAAAAATGAAATTGTTGAATAGTAAAAAAGCGATTTCCAAAGTTTCTTACGTAGTAAACTATTTCCCAAATTTGTAAATCCTTCGGGTCATCAGTAAGTCTTTTGAGCATGATGCTTAAATCCTTCGGGTCATCTTTAAGCATTTCGAGCAAGATGATAAGTCCTTCAGACCATTGATAAGACCTTCGGGAATAATGTTTTCAATATTTCTGTTGCTTGATTCATGATATTTTGAACCAGCGACGCCTCGCTTGAGACAGTTTCACTCGAAACAACAATTTATCTCACTTGAGATTGTTTTTCTTAAAACAAACTTTGTCTCGCTTGAGACAATTTCACTCGAAACAACAATTTATCTCACTTGAGATTGTTTTTCTTAAAACAAGATTCGTCTCGCTTGATACAATTTCACATGAAACATAAACTTATCTCACTCGATATAGTTTTTCTCAAAGCAAAGAATTATCTCGCTAAGACAATTATTTCACTTGAAACAAGAAATTTTATCTCACTCAAGATAGTTTTTCTTAAAATAATATTTTTCTTACTTGAGACAGTTTCACTAGAAACAGAAATTTCCATCACTCGATGGATCAACATTTCCAAAAGGAGTTCATAATGTGAAGAACTCATCTGAAGAGGAAGAAGAAATCATAATGAGAAGAACTTGTTCAACCTTTTGCTTGACTCTATCGCAAAAGGAGATAGATCAACATCAACATTTCCAGAAGGAGTTCATAATGAGAAGAACACATTTGAAGAAGAAGAAGTTCATAATGAGAAGAACTTGTTCAACCTTTTGCTCGACTCTATCGAAGAAGGAGATAGATCAACATCAACATTTCCAGAAGGAGTTCATAATGAGAAGAACTCATATGAAGAGGAAGAAGAAGTTCATAATGAGAAAAACTTGTTCAAACTTTGGCTCGACTCTATCGCAAAAGGAAATAGACCAGCATCAACATTTCCAGAAGGAGTTCATAATGAGAAGAACTAATCTGAAGAAGAAGAAGAAGTTTATAATGAGAAGAACTTGTTCAACCTTTTGCTCGACTCTATCGCAGAATGAGATAGATCAGCATCAATATTTCTAAAAGGAGTTCATAATTAGAAGAACTCATCTGAGGAGGAAGAAGAAGTTCATAATGAGAAGAACTTGTTCAACCTTTTGCTCGAGTCTATCGCAGAAGGAGATAGATCAACATCAACATTTCCAGAAAGAGTTCATAATGAGAAAAACTCATCTGAAGAGGAAGAAGAAGTTCATAATGGGAAAAACTTGTTCAACCTTACCTTGATTCATCACATATGGAGTTGAATCAATGACACCTCACTTGAGGTATCAACATTTTCAATGGAAGAGTTCATAATGAGAAGAACTCATCCGAAGATGAAAAGGAATAGCTCAGAAGTTTGAATAGTTCAAACGAAAAATGGTGATTTATGACTATGCTCAATTCTTGTTCCACAAAAATGAGCAAAGAGGGGCAGCTGTAATCACCATTTTTTAC